GGGTAAGGAGGGGAGGCTAGACCGTCCAAATTCACAGCCTCTTTTTTTCCGGTCTTCCCGGTCTACCAAGGACCCGGCCCGCCGAGACCGGGTAGTCTGGGTCCTCCAGAGGACCCGGCCTGTCGTTTTGGACACAGCCTTCATCTTTTAATGTAATATCTATCTCTCCAGGTCCGTTAGAGGTCAGGGGTGCATGAAGGCCAAAGAAGTAGTTTTCCATCACCTTCTAGTTTGTTAACAACCTATTTCCATATTCTTAAAGGTTCCTCCAGTCTACGACTCCCCACCTTTAACGGATCATAAGTCCAGTCTGAGGGTGACAGTGGTCCATTCTAACTTCAGTGTGCTTCCATTTGGCCAGAAAATCTGAGGATCAACAACGAGTCGCGTTTGGGCTGCAAACTGACACTGTGTGAGGTTGGGCAGTGCTCAACCACTGTAATCCCTGCCAGCCATAATCCCTGCCAAAATATTCCCTGCCAACCATAATCCCTGCCAAAATATTCCCTGCCAACCATAATCCCTGCCAACCATAATCCCTGCCAACCATATTCTCTGCCAACCATATTCYCTGCCAACCATAATCCCTGCCAACCATAATCCCTGCCAACCATATTCTCTGCCAGCCATAATCCCTGTTAACCATAATCCCTGCCAACTGTAATCCCTGCCAACATCATCCCTGCCAAGTTGAGGTGTTTTAGATTTGACTCTTGGTCGAGCTCATATCATCTTGTCCCAGTCAGTTCTCAAACTGACATATGAAGGATTTATTGGACTTTTGGTCCGAAACAGAAACTTGAACTGGTCCAGCTGGACTTTGCTGAACCAGAAACAAGTCCTGAGTCGTGGTTTTTGTGACCCAGGTTCATCAGCTGATGTTCTCGTTGGTCCTGCAGGCTCATCGTCAGTAAGAAGGAGAGGATGCTGCAGAAGGGGACCGGCTTCCACCTGGACCTGCTGATCATTGTGGTGGTGGGCGGAGTCTCGGCGCTGTTTGGGTTGCCATGGTTATCGGCAGCCACAGTGCGGTCCGTCACGCACACCAACGCTCTGACTGTGATGAGCAAAGCTGCTGCTCCAGGCGACAAGCCTCACATCCAGGAGGTCAAGGAGCAGAGGGTGACTGGGTTTCTGGTGGCACTTTTAGTGGGTGAGTAGCATGTGCCCTGCTGGCTCTCAGAGTCCTGCTGCCAGGTCTGACCCAGTCTGGGCTCTGCAGGTCTGTCCATTGTGATCGGACCGGTTCTGCGTCAGATCCCTCTGGCGGTCCTGTTCGGGATCTTCCTCTACATGGGTGTGATGTCCCTGAACGGGATCCAGCTCACGGACCGCCTCATCCTGCTGCTGATGCCTCCCAAGTACCACCCGGACCACAACTACATCCGTAAGGTAGGTCCAGCCGGCCGGTCCTGCTCCTCCTGTCCTGGACTCGGGGCCCTAACCGGACCCTCCTCACCTGTCCACAGGTGAGGACGTTCAGGATGCACCTGTTCACGCTGGTCCAGCTGGCGTGTCTGTCTCTGCTGTGGGTGGTCATGGCCACAGCGGCGGCGCTGGCGTTCCCCTTCATGCTGCTGCTGACCATCCCGCTGAGGATGGTCCTGTTGCCCCGCCTCTTCAGCCGCCGGGAGCTGCAGAGTGTGAGTGACAGATGACGTCATCACAATGTCATCATGATGATGACGTAATCACGATGCCCTCATCGCTATGTCATCATCATCATGACATTATCATGATGATATTGTCATGATTTCATCATCATGCGTCATCATCATGATGTCATCATGATGACATCGTGATGTCGACATCACGATGATGTCGTCATCATGATATCATCATGACATCATCGTGATGTTGTCACCCTAAGCATGACCTCTGACCTGTGAGCTCTGACCCACAGCTGGATGCTGATGATGTGGAGCCTCACCTGGAGGAGAAGGAGGGGCAGGACGAGTACTCTCAGCTGCAGATGCCCCTCTGAGCTGTGATTGGTCGGTTCCTGCAGAGGAACTCACCTGTGTCCAGGAAGCTGAAAGGTTTTCTGTAAAGATGAGGAGGAGTCTGAGTGTCAGTAAAAACCTCTGAAACCTGAAGCTGCTTCTGTGTTTCTTCATGTTTCACCTCCTGCTGGAGGGGAGGTGCTGCTCCTCTCCAGCAGGAGGCAGGGGGCGCTGCTCCCCTCCAGCAGGAGGCGCTGCTCCCCTCCTGCAGGAGGCAGGAGGCGCTGCTCCCCTCCAGCAGGAGGCAGGAGGCGCTGCTCCCCTCCAGCAGGAGGCAGGAGGCGCTGCTCCCCTCCAGCAGGAGGCAGGGGGCGCTGCTCCCCTCCAGCAGGAGGCAGGGGGCGCTGCTCCCCTCCAGCAGGGGGCGCCGCTCCCCTCCAGCAGGGGGAGCCGCTCCCCTCCAGCAGGGGGAGCCGCTCCCCTCCAGCAGGGGGCGCCGCTCCCCTCCAGCAGGGGGCGCCGCTCCCCTCCAGCAGGAGGCGCCGCTCCCCTCCAGCAGGGGGAGCCGCTCCCCTCCAGCAGGGGGAGCCGCTCCCCTCCAGCAGGAGGCGCCGCTCCCCTCCAGCAGGAGGCGCTGCTCCTGTCAGAGTGAAGCCAGGACCAGAAGGTCACAGCTCAGGGTCAGCTCTGACCTTCAACTGTGACCTCACAGGTGAGCGAGTCATCTGCTGTCTCGTCCAATCAGATTCAGACACTGCTCAATCAATCAGCTGGGAGGATTTCCTCTGGTTTTGATGGTCTGGGTCTGGGTCTGGGTCTGGGTCCAGAACAAACTCTGCTGGGTTCTGAGCATCTCAGACCTGCAGTCCTTCCTCTGATTGGTCGGTTCAGACTTTCCTCTCTGAACACAGAAATCCAGGTAAACACACAGGTAGGTCCGTCTGTCCTGACTCACCTGGTCACCACGGTAACCCCCCTCCCCCACTGAAACCTGAGCAGGTGTGAGATCACCTGAGCTGCTGCTGAATGTTTGATGGAGTCTGTCCGAGTCCAGCACCTGAGACACCTGAGACACCTGGACAGAGCCAGTGTGAGGACGCAGAGAGGCTTCAGCAGGTAAACCTTCATCCATCCTTCATGTAGAGACAGGTGTCCCAGAACCTGCAGACCCAGCTGGACCTGCAGGACCTGGTCCTGATCCACACTCAGGTGTGTCAGGTCAGGCTGGTTCTGGTTCTGGTTCTGGACAGGTGTAGAACTGTGTTCAGAGGGCTGTAAAGGATGTAGAGGAGACTCTGGGTTTTGTCTCCGTTTAGAGACAGTTTGACTGTGTCTCACTGCAGAGACATTTAATGTTTTATTTTTCACTTTCAGAGATTATAAAATCTGTTTAAACATCCACTGTGTCCCTGTCCTCTGTCCTCATGTCCTGTCCCTCTGTCCTCATGACCTGTCCTCCTGTCCTCTGTCCTCATGACCTGTCCTCCTGTCCTCTGTCCTCATGTCCTGTCCTCCTGTCCTCCTGTCCTCCTGTCCTGTCCTCATGTCCTGTCCTCCTGTCCTCCTGTCCTGTCCTGTCCTCCTGTCCTCTGTCCTCATGTCCTGTCCTCCTGTCCTCCTGTCCTGTCCTCCTGTCCTCTGTCCTCTGTCCTCCTGTCCTCCTGTCCCTCTGTCCTCCTGTCCTCATGTCCTGTCCTCCTGTCCTGTCCTCCTGTCCTCTGTCCTCCTGTCCTCATGTCCTGTCCTCCTGTCTTGTCCTCCTGTCCCTCTGTCCTCCTGTCCTCCTGTCCTCCTGTCCTCTGTCCTCCTGTCCTCCTGTCCTCTGTCCTCCTGTCCTCCTGTCCTGTCCTCCTGTCCTGTCCTCCTGTCCTCCTGTCCTCCTCTCCTGTCCTGTCCTCCTGTCCTGTCCTCCTGTCCTCCTGTCCTCCTCTCCTGTCCTGTCCTCCTGTCCTGTCCTGTCCTGTCCTCTGTCCTGTCCTCCTGTCCTGTCCTCCTGTCCTCCTGTCCTGTCCTCTGTCCTGTCCTGTCCTGTCCTCTGTCCTGTCCTCTGTCCTGTCCTGTCCTGTCCTCCTGTCCTGTCCTCCTGTCCTCCTGTCCTCCTCTCCTGTCCTGTCCTCCTGTCCTCCTGTCCTCCTCTCCTGTCCTGTCCTCCTGTCCTCCTGTCCCGTCCCGTCCCTCTGCTCACTGAGACATTTGTCCCCTGTCTCAGGTGATGCCAGGATGTCTGATGGGAAGCAGAGAACTCTGTCCACCTCTGGAGAGTCTTTGTATCAGATCCTGGGTCTGGAGAAAGGCTGCAGCCATGAAGACATCAAGAAGTCCTACAGGTGAGCTCAGCCCCGCCCACTCACCTGCTGCAGGTGCTCATGGTTGAACTCCACTCTGTGCTTCTGAAAACAGGAAGTTGGCCCTGCGGTTCCACCCGGATAAGAACCCGGACAACCCGGAGGCAGCGGAGAAGTTCAAGGAGCTGAACAGCGCCCACGCTGTCCTGTCCGACCTCACCAAGAGGAACATCTACGACTCGTACGGCTCGCTGGGACTCTACGTGGCCCAGCAGTTCGGAGAGGACAACGTCAACACCTACTTCATGCTGTCCACCTGGTGGGCTAAGGTGGGGGCGGGGCTTAGACTGATGCAGGGGTAAAACCAGGAAGCAGGAGGTGATGTGACGGGCTGTTTCTGCTGCAGGGTCTGTTCCTGCTCTGTGGGATCCTGACCGGCTGTTACTGCGGCTGCTGTCTCTGCTGCTGCTGCAACTGCTGCTGTGGAAAACTTAAACCACACCCCACTGACGAGGGGGCGGAGCCAGAGTACGTCTCGCCAGATGACCTGGAGGAGGAGATACGCAACAATCCTGATAATGGTGAGAAAATCTTCCTTCGAATTGTTTCCTGATGACTCAGCTTTATGTTTCAGATGATGACTCATCTTTGTTTCAGATGATGACTCAGCTTTATGTTTCAGATGATGACTCAT